AATCAAATGAGAGCCTGAGAGTCCATTTTACCAAAAATGTTCTTGAATTAAATATTAAGTATCTGGTCCGGGCCTATAGAGGCCCCCTATGACGTCTTCCAGGTAGTTCTTTTGCTACTGGCTCAAAGAAAGTCAGCTCGTTCCCATTAATGTTCAGCGGACATGTGAACTCTGGCTTTAAAACAAAAAGTCTGACACGGAGAGTAGATTATATCATCAGAGGCATCAGTAGAAACATCAGACTAGATAGAAATGACTTTACTATTACTCTGTACTTGGACAAGCGAGTACAGAGGGTGGTCAGTTAAGAGATGCCCCTTATCCTGGAGGTCAAAATTGCACCTGTGCCCTGTGTTGGGCTTCTTTAGCTCTCTGAGTCAGACTATCTCCAAATTTGAGATAATTTGTTACTTTTGCCTTTCTAATTAAAAATAGACCAAGAAAAGTCTTTAAAATTTGATGAAACGTTTTTTTTCCTTCAGGGCTACAACAAAGCTGTGGACTGGTGGGCTCTTGGAGTTCTTGTCTACGAGATGGCTGCTGGTTACCCTCCTTTTTTCGCTGATCAGCCTATCCAGATTTATGAAAAAATTGTTTCTGGCAAGGTATGCAAAGATAAGCAGGAGCAATGTTTGAGCTTTACTTTTTCCAATGTTTAAATGCTCTGATATTAGTTGGTGAAGCTAGATGAGTTTAAATATCTGGGGTCAACCATCCAAAATGCACAAGAGAGGTGAAGAAGAGAGTGCAGGTGGGGTGAAGTGGGTGGAGACGAGTGTCAGGGATGATTTGTGACAGAAGGATAGCAGCAAGAGTGAAAGGGAAGGTTTACAAGATGGTAGTGGTGTTGTGATGTGCGGCTTGGAGGCAGTGGCACAAGAGCTGGAACTCTGGGTGGCAGAGTTTAAGATGCTCAGATTTGACCAAGAGGGACAGCACAGGATGAGCGGTTTGGAGACAACGTTAGAGAGGCAAAAAGGAGATGGTTGAACATGGAGCTGCTGGGCCAGAGTAAGACCTGAGAGAAGATTCATGGATGTAGTGAAGGAGGACACTGCTGACTACCATCGGGACCAGCTTGCTTTTGGCTTTCCAGTTGTTCTTTAGTGCTTTTAGCTGTTTTATTTCAGCGTAATAAGCGAAACAGTGAAAGTATTTTTCTGTGTTTCATAACCCACATCTTTGATTTATTTATGTATTTTTGCAATTCTGCAGGTTCGATTTCCCTCTCACTTTAGCTCCGACCTCAAGGATCTGCTGAGGAACCTGCTTCAGGTTGACCTGACAAAGAGATTTGGGAACCTGAAGAATGGTGTCAATGACATAAAGAATCACAAGTGGTTCTCCACAACAGACTGGATTGCCATCTATGAGCGAAAGGTTGGTGTTGTTTTTTTTTCCCAGGGAAAATAATCAGTGTGTTGCTCGCGCTTCCTTTTTTGGATGTGGTTCATATTAAAATGGAAAATTCATATCCTCCTAAATTCTCAGGTTGAAGCTCCCTTCTTGCCAAAGTGCAGAGGACCAGGAGACACAAGCAACTTTGATGACTATGAAGAGGAGGAGATCCGTGTATCGCAAACAGAAAAGTGTGCGAAAGAGTTTGCTGACTTCTAGTGAACGAGCAAGAGTCCCAATCAGGGCTCTTGTGTTTTGGGATATTTGCACTCCGCTGAGGGTTAAGATGGAACTGAGGCCATCACGTGCTCAAACAAATGCCTAGTTCCTTCAGTCCACACAGCCGAATGAGCTCCTTTTTTTGCCATGATCCTGCGTGCTGTTAGCACTAATCTATACACAGGCACATTATGCAGACACCCCTCGTGCTGCAACACCGAGTACCAGACCACGTTCCTGTTGTGTTTCTTTTTTTTACCTTGTTTTCTATGTTTGCCACTGTCTGTGTCCTGTCGTCCCTTATTTAAGTTCTTATTTGAGAAGCAACTTGAAGACGAATATTAATCTTACTTTGAAGCAGCTAGCTGGTGTTGCACATGATGTGGTTTTTAGGCTTTTGGATAACTAAGGGACACTTTTGGGCATTTTGGGCAGAGCGTTTAAATACCTGATATCTCATTGGCTGTTACACGTTTTCTGTTACATGACTTAGTTTCCCGTAGGATTCAGTTTAGTATTCCTTAATCAGAAACACTGAAAGTAAATCTAAAGCTAAAGCCAGGATTTGAAAATAGACGGCGCCTCTCGCTGCTGCTCTCCATCTCCGTCCGAAGCCCCTCCCATCAGCCGAGCACAGGCTGCAAATGCAAACTTTTGGCTTCACGCAACATCCAAACCCATCTCTACAAGGTGAAAGTTCGAATTCTAACCCACGGCACCAGTTTGTCTTTATTTCTGTGCTGATGTTCTCCTTCCTTTTTATACCACTTTACCTGGTGTCGTTTGAAAGACCCGTGATAGGCCAGAGTCTCCCGCCACGTGTCGTGTTTCGAGTGGGCTTTAGTGGAGATGCAGCAATAAAGCTCCCTCTAAGATCATTTGAAGCTAAATATGATGAGAGGTTAATATAAATGTTTTCTTTCTTTTTTTTTGTCCAAAAAAATGCCGAAAACATGTTGCCTAGCCCAGCTTCAAATATCATTATTTATCCCTCTGTTGCCCTCGAGACCTGAAATTGTGTATTTGTGCATATAGATGTATGATTTGATTTCTTTAAAGAACGTGTTTCCTTAGGGCATGACCACAATTCAATGAAGGGAAAGAAGCGGTGATGGCTTCTTGAAGTTTTGGCACGCTCAAAGAAGCGGATCAATATTGACAAGTGTTATTATGAAGCAGAAACTTGTCAGTGTTGTGCTGATCAATCTGTAGCATCGTTTATCCATATCTGGTCGCAGGACTTTTCCTTTTTACCTCAGTCTTGGTGTGATATTAGCATAATGGAATGAAGTAATATATTTTTTCTGGTACAACTATGTTAGAGAGAAAGGGAACTAAGAGAATTTGAGTATATCACTGTGCACAACACAACATTTACATGGTTTGTTTTATACATTAGTGCGTTTTTCAGTAATTGAAAGGTCAGGTGGTGATATTTTCGTGAGGTTTTATCATGAAGGGGAAGCAGTGTTGGTCTCATTTAGGTTGCTGTTTGTTTTGTTTTTTTGTCTTTTAACTGCTGTGTTTTGAGCAGAACAATCGCAAGATGTTGTGTACCTGCCATATTTGTTTGTCATTTTTTCATGTTTGTATAGATGTGTCACAACAACCTGATAACAGCCTAAAAATGTTCCACTTTTTCATTTGTTACCTTTTAAATTGTTCCAAAGCCTCAGGCAGTCATGCAGTAAACAAGTAAATTGGATATGGGTTAAGAAAGAAACACAACATTCACAAACAGTGAAGAGAAAACTGAAATATCATCACCTTAAAGTATTAATTCAACTCGGCCACGCTTGATGCTTTTTTCGCTTTTTTTTTTTTTTTACGTCAGTAACACAGCTGACAAAAAGAATAGTTTTCAAAGGAAATAAGCTCATAAGACTCCAAAATATCAGTTACTCCTTTTAATTTATTGTTAAATCATATTCTATAAGGTTTTATGAGCAACTTTCATGACCCATTAATTCTCACTCTTTCCCTGCCGCTAAGTAAAGAACAAACAACTCTCCGGTTACAGGTTAACATATCTAAAGGACTTTTCTTTCATCCAGACATCAGAAACGTTCTTTTCTTTGTGAACAGAGGTTTGTCTCTGCTGTCCACACGAATGTCAGAGTTTGATCCTCACAGCTGTGTGAAAATCGAGTTTTACACTGTCAGGAATAGCAGTGCACTATTGACAGTGTTTCACTTTATGTCCCTTAAGTCTTGAGAAGCTTCGTCATAATTTGACAAGATGCTCAAGTATTTGTATGCGAGGAAAATGCAATTGAATCAAGTTCAACAATCATAGAAACCAAATGTGAAAAGATTTGCAGACTGAATGCTATTTTGTAGCATTTTATACATAAATATTGGCAACATGTAAACTTTTATTTTACTGTTTGAGCCCAGCATGTGACATTTTTTTATTTACCCTTGTTTTCATTTCCGAGACAGAACTGTTTCGTATGCTGTTTTATTTATATTTAGAGATAATGAATAAACACTGAAATGTTTAATCGTCTATAGTTCTCATATAAAAGACTCCAAATGTTTTATTTGCAAGTGTTAAAAACAGTGAATATACTGAAAAGTTTTATCTGTGTAACTTTTTATTTGCCCTGTTAAGACTTACGCTTATGTACACTGACACCTCAAATGCCTATTTAAAATGATAGCCTTTTGATTTTAACTTATTTTTTTTCATTTCCTTTGTCTAAAGAAAGATTTTTTTTAAATAATCCTTTAAAAACAGATTTACCAAAAAAGATCCAACAATTTTCTTCTTCTCACTTTGAAGTCTGGACAGGATTTAATGGTAAAATCCAGAACAAATATTCAAACAGGACTTTGAAAAGCACAGTCCCAAACAGCTTGTGTGTGTGTGTGTGTGTGTGTGTGTGTGTGTGTGTGTGTGTGTGTGTGTGTGTGTGTGTGTGTGTGTAAATCTACCCAGAAACTGTGTAGGAAATCCATATCTCTCCACATCTGTATCTCCGTATCCTTTATTTCCCAATCTGTGTAATCTTTGTCAGATTTCATGTAAATGATGGCACTTTTTCCCTGAACCACCTCACACTCCTGACTGCAGGAAATCCGTTTATGAGTTCTCTGTAGCTAGTCACATGTGCCAGTATGGGATCAATAATCTGAAATGTGTCTCTATTTAGTTTGTGGAATTTTTGCACATCATTTAGACGGCTGACACGTTTTTTGTTTTTTGTTTTCCCACTCATATATATTTGTGTTTGCAAGGGGAGTATACTTTGCTGTAGCAGATTTTATGTAACGAAGAATATGTCACAATAATAAATTCTTTTTATTATAAAGTTTGGTTGTGAGTTTGCTCCTGGTTGATCATCAGCAAGTGTCTAATCTCACTGAACTGCAAACCAAGGCGTTGGGGACGCAAAACTACATTACCCATGATTCTTTGGTGCCCTGTGGGTGATGGAAGCGAAAGCGATGAAGAGGGGGCTAGTTGGCTTTACTTGATTAAATCTTGATTTTATCAAACGACCGCTGTCGTTTGATAATTTGTAAAATATCGCAGTTATTGGAAAACTTTTTAAGATTTAAACTACGTGTAAACGTCGGACGGGCCATTCCTGTCAAAGCGCGAATCTCTAAAACAAGGTAACTGTTAAATTTTGTATTAGCAAGCCTAGCTAACTACCCCTGGTAGCTTAACGTTAGCGTTAACGCAGAATACGAAGTGGCAGTGATTAAATATCTGTCGTCATTTAACATAACGTTGTTTTCTTAACTCTCCTCTCTGATAAGGTATTTTTTTTTACTTTATTTATTTATTTTTTTATGTTTCTAATGTAATTCTATGTTTTTAATACAGCTAACAACGTGAGTTTTTGGTCGTCATTTTCACACACTACAGCTCTCCCCGTTGTTGTCAGTCAGAAACGATTGGATTTGTTTTGTTCTCTAGCTGTGTTTCGGGTTTTTTAAATTAAATGAATTTTGTTATTTACTGTACAACTGTTTTTCCTGCAGAAACATCCAGTAAATGGCAGACTGCGAAAGATAAACAATGAGGGTTTTTCAACTGCCAGCACACTAAGTTCCCCGAGAGAAGACGTCTGATGAAAAATTACTGTAACGTTAAAGATCGTAAGTGTTTCCTTACACCTAAGTCAGTGATTAAACTAGCAACGCTTGTGTTTAATCAGGTAGTCGTGTAAGGTTCCTCTGTGAGGTGCTTTTCTGTTGCTTGTGTAACCCGTTGGTAGCGGTATAATTGCAAAATACCTGCCATCACAATGGTTGACGGAGAAGAGGAGTAAAAAAATAGCTCAGACATTTAGTTGGTTAAGTTAACCAGCTGACAGAGAACAGTTTGATCGCACACGATTAAAATGTGTCATTTTTGCAAGGAAAGAAACCACCAAATTCATATTCTTACACGTTTTTAAACAAAATATTTGCAGGTTTCTGCATATTTTTTTAATAGCAAACTGAATGTCTTTACACTCTGTATCAAGTCATTTGAAGTCATTTGCCTGTTTATTCTAATTTGAAAGAGAATTAGAAAATGAAAAGCATTTTAGAAAATACTTGTGATTTTCAAATTGACTGAATAGTTTCTTTTTGCTTTTGTAATTTTCTTGTTATTTTTATTTTTTTAAGCTACAGCCGACATGGAAGACAAGGCAAATGGATCAGTTGACACCAAAAGGTGTGTAGGATCTTGTTGATTGACAAACTATTTTAGATATTTTAAGCTGCTCTTAAAATTAAGCATACATTTTATATTAAGATGAATACATTTAATTTCACCTTACAGCCCAGTGGAGAACGGTCAGCTGCCGGACCCTTCCAACTGGGCAGTTGCTGATGTTGTCAATTATTTCAAAGCAACAGGGTTTGAGGAGCAAGCCATGGCTTTCCAGGATCAGGTTTGACTGTTATTTCCTGCTCAAAATTGCTGCCACATGATGCTGACAAACTAGGGAAAACTAGAATTTCTGTCTTTATCTGACAGGAAATTGATGGTAAGTCCCTGCTCTTGATGACGCGTAACGACGTCCTGACGGGGCTGTCGATAAAGCTCGGCCCCGCACTGAAAATCTACGAGTATCACGTGAAGCCGCTGCAGACTCAGCACCTGAAAAGCAACGCCTCGTAGCGCCGCAGGCCGTCCCAGCACCCACGTCTGTGACAATCATTGTGTCAGGAGAGCCCAGGTTAGCCGTCGTTTCGCAGAGACTTTTCAGCCCACAGTGGCTTCTTAACAGGATTTTTGAATGCTGTATTTTTTCTTTTTGTTTGTGTTCTTTTTATATAAGCGTGGACCCCAAAAATGGGTTGCACACAGTGTCCACTCAGCCGTTTACCCTTTCAGCCATTCTTATATCTGCTGCTTGAGATTTTTTTTTTTGTATTTTTGTATTTTTTTGTGTTTTATTTAAAAGAAGAAAATTTGGGGAAAATACTCTGCAGGTATGGTTTTTGTGTGCGTGCATGTGTGTATGTGTGTGAGTGCAAAGTGAATTAACCCATGAAGGTTTAAAAAAATAAGTATTTGTATATAAGATTATATTATAGTTGAAAACTGTATGTTCTGTCGCATCTAAAGACTTTGATACATGCAGATAATGATTCTGGTGCGTTGCCCTTTTTCCCCCTGAAACTTTCTATGTTTTAAAATGTGCATCTGAGTCAATGAGTCGTCTTCAGCATGTGACCGTGAACCACTTTGTTTTCCCAGACACAACGACCCGAGCAAAAGCCACCTTGTTCCTGAACATCTACATTATTCAGGCTTGAGACTCTTGATATGGAAATATTTATGTGTATATATTATTATTGTTGTTATTATTATTATTATTATCTATCAACCTGTGGTGCTTTCAGCGTTGTCACACAGACAACTGTTCAAAAGTGTGTATGACCAATGTACATGTGCAGCATAACACTGGAGTTTTAATATCCGAATCAGAGATTTGCAATAAATGGTGCTCTTTTCTCACCAAAGATCAATGTTAGTTTATGAATTTATCAACAGCCGCTGTCTTTAGTTTCATTTTATTTGGGTTCACATCACATCATCACGAGCTTTAGTCAGGCTACAAATATTAACTTGCTGTTGTTGGAATATTTGTTTGAAAGGTTAATTCAGATGGATCTTTCTGTTAAGATTGTTTAAATCCCAGCAGGGCCTTCTTTCTGTGGGCGCCGTTAGAGCCGCGCTCGCTGCTTCCTGCGTACTGTCCCCGTTATGTTCCCTGAGGGATTATCCAGAGGAAGGAGTACCTGTGATGGGAAAAAGATACTAATGTCCACAACCCGATCATTTAAAGAATATGAAGGGCCATTTGTGAGAACAGAACTTACTTCATCATTGTTGACAATACCCATTCTTGTCATGTCTATGGTGAAGTAATGCTCATTGGGCATGATGATCTCTATTTCATCCACCTAAAAGAAAATGTGTACTTTAGCATGCCTGTTATATACAGTATGTAGCTTTTTATTCAATGTCCAACAACCGTGGAGATGTAATTTGCATGTTTGTCCTTTTTTAGGACTCAGAGTTGGTTAGATTTCAACTGTGAAGTTGTCTAAACAGTTTATGTATCTCAAAAAGTGATAAGATTGTGAGTTTGATGATTTCACCATCTAAAGGAAGTACCTCAGGAAGTCGATCCAGGACTAGAACCTGAGTTTCATACAGGGTCTTCTGCACTGAGGGCGAGTACTCCCCGCGATCATAGGGGCCAGCAAACTTCTCAATAATCGTCTCCTTCACAGTCTTCCTATAAGAATGAAGAATATAAAGCTTCAGATGTGAACTATATTTATGAACTTTGAACTATATTATACGTCAGCTGAGGTCTTTCTTGACGCTCGTAAGTCGGGCAGTTACCAAGCAGCGTCAAAGTCAGTGTCCTGGATCTTGTTGTAGCGCCACCTCGAGTACACAGAGGTGCAGAAAAACCTGTCCTTGGCGTCTTTCAGAGTAGTGAAGCGGTCTCTGTAGAAACCTTCAAAACCAGACTGGGTGGTTTTCAGCACCTTCATATTCTTCACCCCACTGTGGACCACAGGGATGCCTGCGTGGAGCACAGATGAGCCCGTGAGGGTGGAGTGATGTGAAACATGGCAAACAACTTATGAAAATGGTGCTAATCATGAACCTGTGATCAACAGTGTGCAAGGGCTTAGTCATAGCTTTAGCTGCCTTTGTTAACAGTATTTGCACCACAAGTCAAATAGTACGTTTTGATTTATTAAACACGCTTCAAGAGTTAAAACTTGACTCAAAGTAATTTGTGGCAGCCATTAACCTCTGATGTTTTTTACATGTATTTGCTACTGAGCAAGTGGAGGCTGCAAAGGGAGAACGCCCTCTTCAGCAGAACAGAGCTCAGCGATCAGATCTTGGCCTACCTACATGCTGTAGTTCAGGCGTGGGCAACTCCAGGCCTCGAGGGCCGGTGTCCTGCAGGTTTTAGATCTCACCCTGGGTCAACACACCTGAATCACATGATTAGTTCGTTACCAGGCCTCTGGAGAACTTCAGGACATGTTGAGGAGCTAATTTAGCCCTTTAAATCAGCTGTGTTGGTTCAAAAAACCTAAAACCTGCAAGGACACAATGGCCCTCGAAGCCTGGAGTTGCCCACCCCTGCTGTAGTTTGAACTATCATGATAGTGCAGTGATTAGCACCGTCACCTCGCATCAAGAAGGTTCCAGGTTTGAACCTCTTACTTGGTTGGGGTGTTTTTGTCTGACAAAAGTATGACAACACACACGTAAGTTTAGCTGTAAACTATTGTAACCCTGGTGATGGACTGGTCATCTGTCCAGCTTAGGGTAACACTAAACTTAAAAACTAAAGTAACTGAAATCTAAATAAAAGTCTAGACCTTTGGAAGAAAATTAAAAACTTAAATAATTGTATGTTAAGAAAACGAATTTAAAAATATAGCAGAAATGTGCTTGTCTGTGCTTACACATTCAGCCTAACCACACTTTGGTCCAGCTATTTATTGAGACTTGGGATCACGACATGGGATTAAACGGTGCTGTATTTGTGTAAGATCTTCTGAAAAGCTTTAATTTTGTCTCCTGACAAATTGCTTCCATATAATCATAATTAAAACTAACAATGAAAACGTTGCTAAAAGGAGCAAAAGTAATTTGGAAACTAAACTGGAAACAAAAATTCTAAATTAAAAAAATACAAAACTTGAATTAATATAATAATAATTATTATTAATACTGTTAATAAACCAGAGTGTATTCAGTCCGTCACTGTCCAATGACAGCTTGGATAGCATGTAAGCAAATACACTGTTTGCGTGTTTTTGTGAGAGTGTGTGATTACCACCGATAGTCTGTTCAACATCACAGAAGCGGTAAGCTTCTGGGCTGAATATAAACGCATGAGCATGCTCTACCCCACTCTGAGAGAAAAAAAAGACAAGGGTCATGTTTTACGATGGATTATCACCTGCAACATTTGATCGGGTTAATGTGCACTTGATTTATGTTGCTGCTCAAATAGCTGTTAAAAAGGTCAACTCTTGTGAAGCTGCACCGTCCTGTGTTTTACCTTCTCCAGCCTTCTCCACGGAGCTTCCTCCATGTAAACTTTGGCCTTCAGCACATGGTTAAAAGAGGTTAGGAAATGATTGCAGATATCCAGGGAAAACTGTTCGATGTTCTTTATCTTGACAGAGAAACAAGCAGGTTGACAGGCTGTAAAAGACCTCAATAACAAATATTTTAGCAGTTGAAATAGCAATAACAGGTCTTCCCTGTTCCTCAAAACGGTGTTAGACTCACCCCTCTGAGCTTGGCCAAACCGTGGACGGTGTTTTTAATGGTGTCAGTAGGGATGATGTCTGAGTTGTCTCCAGTTAGATAATCTTTGCGTGACTTGAGCGTGAGCTCCACATCAGCCTTCACCTCAATGATAGAATGCTGTCTTCCCTGCCTCCGGACGACCAGCACCTTCACCGTTTTCTTGCCGTAACCTGTTCGCACAAACTCCGCTTTCTGCATGTGTGAGAAATAGTTGTAATAAGATGGCACACTTAAACAGTTTCCAGTGGTAGAGGTGTTTCGTGCCACAGTGTCATCTTAGAGCTACAAATATAATATTTCTTATCCCTTTAAAATGTTGTCTTTGGATAGTTTGCAGTGAAGTTTCTCGTGTGCATTTGCAGGAGCTTGTTAAATATATCTCCGTATTCCAACATTAATTTAAAAAATCTGAAATCAGATATTGTCTGAAAGTACACGAGTACCACAACATCAAATAAAAAAAAGACTTTTACTTTGTGAGGAATTAGAAATGTTTTAAAAACTAACCTTTAAAGATCACGGTTTGACCCTGTGGCCACTGAACCCTGAGATAATTTCCAGTGCTATCAATCTACCGTCAGAAACATTAGTCATGTTCTATCGTTTAAGTTTTACTGTTTCCTTCTATAACTTTCTGAAATGTTACCTGATCTGAAGCGTTTGCCATGGTGCCTTCCTCTTCTTTACCTGCTGCCCTTCAAACAGTCTCCAGTAAATGGGGCTCCTGCTACAGGAGGAGGACTTTCTACAGAGGGTGGCATTAACTTTGCACTCAGGCTATTGGAAGCTGAAGTTTAACCTCTTTTATTTGTACTGTGTGATGCACTGTATTCCACTCAGAGAAATGCAGAGGCACGCACAAACACTGTTTACATGTACAGCCACAAAGAGAAAGATGTGAGTGCATTTCACATGAATTCATTGTTGCAGTCAGGTTCAATCTTGACCGACACCTAATTTCTTTATATTTTGCCAGAAAAATAAGAAACAGGTTTATTGAAACACATGCAAACATAAACGGCGATGCAGTAGATGAAGCAAAAACATGTGAAATGAGGGTTAACTCAGAGTCTGTACAGCACTGTAGTTTGCACTCCCTATGCTCATATAAAGACTATAAACTTTTTTCTTCTAAATATAAAGAACAGTTTTGAGTTTCCACCTTTATGAATTACATTTACATTATGCTTTTTTTGTTTTTACGCAAATGCTCTGTATATTGTGTGGACTTTAAACCTTTTTTTTTCTTCCTTTTGCACATGTCACACATAAATTTTAATATTAGAAAAAGATCATCAGAGTAAAAAAAAAAAGGTTTTTAAATGATGATTTCCTTTAAGTGAAATTAAGTGAAATAAGCTCTTCAAACCTGCCCGTGTAGGGTTGGAGAGTGAAAAAGTAATTTAGAAGTAAACCTAATACCAGCCTTGGTATCAAGATCTGTGCCTCCTTGAAGGGGTCTTTTCATTTCCTCAGTAATAAGAAAGTTTGGATGGTTCAGCTCAACATGTACAATAGTGATAAGTTTAAAAGTTTACATTGAGTTACTTTAATGCAGGATGTTTTCTGTCTGAACGTGCTTTGCTTTAAATTTAAAAGAATATCTTTATAGAAGGATGCTCTATGCACCGTGTGCGCAGCGCAAAGGACTGATCAGTCAGCTGCTTCCACTGAGGAACTAAAGATCCCGTTAACATAGTTTTGTTCTTAAGGAGGAAAATAGTTCTTCTGTTTATTCCTACATGCATTAGTTGCTTCACCGTTTGAATATATTTAAAGATCCATCCATCCATCGTCTTCCACTTATCCGGGGCCAGGTTGTGGGAGCAGCAGCCTAAGCAGAGAAGCCCAGACCGCCCTCTCCCCAGCCACCTCCTCCAGCTTCCCAGGCCAGCCGAGAGATATGATCTCTCCAGCGTGTCCTGGGTTTGCCTCGGGGCCTCCTCCCGGTGCTGCAGACCCCCCTGTGAATTGCTACCTTATCGTGGTGGAGGGGTTTGTGTGTCCCAGGAATCCCAGGGGCTATGTTGTCCATGGGCTTCTGCCCCCTGGTAGGGTCTCCCATGGCAAATTGGTCCTGGGTGAGGGACCAGACAAAGAGTGATTCAGAAGACCCCTATGAGAAGAACACTTCACCCCGCCTAGGGTTACCAGGACCCCGCCCTGGAGCCAGGCCCAGGGAAGGTGCCCGAGAGCAAGCGTCTGGTGGCCAGGACTTAGTCCCTAAAAAGGGACATGGGTCCATCTTCCTGCAGGCCCACCACCCGCAGGAGGCATCGTAGGGGTCAGGTACATTGTGTGCCGGGCGGCGTCCAGGAGCGGAGCACCTGGCAGACCGATCCCCGGCTACCAAGACTATGTTTAAAGAGTTTCCTCAACAATAAACTGGATGAGCTTATGAAATCCAGTTTGGCTTATAAACATTACAAAAAGGAGCTCAGAGATGTGACTTTGTCAGACTTCAACTATGAGTTGTTTTACCAAAGAGACGTTTCCCCTTTTACAGTCAACATGTGGTTTCATTGTAAAATTAAGACCTGACCAGTACAGTAATCTGGTGTGAACAGTACTTGATGCTGTAACGAGGGCAGTTTGCATAATTAAAAAACAGCAACACAAAAACATTAACATACAGTACATATATAAATAATACGAGGACAAGTAAAGTAGCTGATCTGTCAAGGTTGGCAAAAAATAAAAATCTATAAACATTCTGAAACATTTAATTGCTGACAGTCATTTCAGTATTTTCCCGTCATGTGACAACATCTTATGACTTCCCATTTTTGCATCTAAAAGCAGATGTGCTGGTTTCACAATCAGAAAGCAGCAGATTTCAGATTTCCCTTTCGTCAGTCGCTGCCGTGTTGACTTCAGCTGCAGGAGTCACTCAGGATGATCTCACGCTTTAGTTTATCCTCACAGATTTTTGTGCTTTTGTGTTGCACAGTTTGTGGTGCTGACATTTCATGTAGAAATGAAGAAGGCGAGGCAGTCGATTGGTGAGTTAATATGATATTTTTAAATATTAATGCCTCCATATTCATACTGATGACCGATTCCTTCAATTTTCCCAAGAAAAGACACGTGGTTTTCTGTCTCTTTCCTTCTAAGGTTTATCATCTACAAACTGCCTAAATACAGAATCGATGACATCGGCAGTGGGGTGGAGTACATGTACTTGGATTCATCAAAAGAAGGCTGGGAAATGAGTAAATACACGATTAACTCCAGCCAAGGAGCCATAACAAACACACTGAACCAGCTTTACATGGGAAAAGAGTACAAGGTGAGATTATTCCATCTTTTTGTGGGTTTTTATATGATGAGTGAGACTTTCGTTTGTTAATGGGAATTATCAGAGATAATGCTCGTGCCAGTTTGCTGAGTAGGAACTCTTTCATTTAATATGAGGAACTGAGTTGACACTGAACAGTCAGAAACAACACAAACTACCAGTTTGGAGTGTACGTAAGTCTGGAGTTTATGTAAGATCTTAAAGTAATCAGGACCAAATAAACTGAAGAAAAAAGATTTATTTTGGGAAATATTTAGTTCAGTTTCCCCAGGCAGACAGAAAACAAACATTTCTCTGAAATATCTTTGCTATAAGAATGAAGCCATTAGCTGGTTATTGTGGCATTCTTCTTCTTCTTCTTTGTTCTTTCAGTTGGTCCCTTATTCCATTTGCCATTAACGTAAGCCAAAGTGTAATAAGGTGTAATAAGCATTTTGGTTTTGCAGGGCGTCCCTAATGTCACCTCTCAATTATTCTTCTTGTATAAATGAACTTGTATAAAATAACAAATGTTGTCTTTTGGCAGTCAAACACCTCAGTGTATGCACTCTATAACGACGCCCCACCAGACCTGAAATACATTCAAAAATATGGACACACTAAAGGTACGGTACAGTCGGCAGGAAGAAATCTGCTTCTTTCCTCTTCTTTTCATCTCAAGACTCTTATTCATTATTGTGACCACACAACAAGATTCATCCGGTTTTATTCCCAGAGTTTTCACTGTTAGCAGAAAATATAGCAGCGCTATGACTGCCATAGTTTTTCTTCACTCTGTTGACACATGTGCAAAGTCAAGGTGGAATGTCCAGGAAAGTCTGTTTTACATTTTCCACCTTTAAATTAAGGTAGTTATTGTGTATATATGTAGCCACACTATGTTACATGTACAAGTGCACAACTATTCCCCATGCAACAGTGCAAGTTACAGCATGTTTTGTGTCTGTGACAGTTACCGGCAGATGCATTTCCAAACTGCTAGTCAAGCTTTGGAAAAAGAAAAAATCAATAGGGTTTAGGTTTCCTCTGCCTGCAATAGGGTGTTGTAGGGGGAGGACACGGGCAAAGACCATCTGTCCGATAGCTCCAACTGCACATTTGACTCTTATCAGCAACACAACTGATGGAAATCTTTCTGCATCTGCGTGCTGGTTCACATGTATCTGTGTGTAATCATTCCAACTTTCGTATGTTTGTGTGTGTCCTGCAGGGGCACTGCTCTTTGACCGCGCTCAAGGTTTCTGGTTGTCGCACAGCATTCCCCATTTCCCTTCCTTCCCAGAGAAAGGGTACCTATACCCGTCCTCTGGCAAAGTCAATGGCCAGACTGCACTGTGTGTGACCTACCAGTACCAACAGTTTCTTCATATAGGTGAGCATGAAGCACAGAGCTTGGCATACAATCGTCAGACTTACTACATTTAATATTCTGCTTGATAGAAAGCCGGGCCGGACCAGTGAAACTACTTGATAGATTCTGGGAGTTCATCAAACTGGTCCACAATTACAACATATAAAGTTTTCGTTAATTCAAAGAAAATCTCCTTTTTTTCTGTGAACCCACTGAAAAAAACCTACAAATATGTAAAAAAAAACTTTTAATAGTTGATCTGTTACTTAATTACTTTGGTGTCGTATGAATGAGGGAGATTCTTTACCAACAGGATACTGTTGGTAAAGAACTTTGAAAATCCTGTTAAATGTTCAAAATTATGCACTCCTTCACATTTTCCACAGCCTAATGGTGGGCCGGACTCGGCTGGGCCGATTCTGGACCCCGGGCCTTATATTCAGCACCCCTGGTTTAATGCAAAGCAATCATCAGCTTTTTTCTTTTACATGCATACACACAGTTAGGCCCATAAACATCTGGACAATAAGAGAATTTTTGTAATTTTGCCTCCGTTCACGATCACGATGTAATTTGAATCCAGATGTGAAATCCAGACTTTCAGCTTTAATTCAAGGTGATGAACTGTTTGTTCAATTGTTGAATTACAGGCAGTTTTATACACGTCTCCCCATTTAACTGTACATAAAGATTCAAAAATCATTTTAAATGTGCGCAGAGTTTTAAATGATTTGGAGTTTTTATGCTGCTCTGCTTTTTTCTGGATTTCTCACTGAGCAAATGTGTAAAATGAAATTTTAAGGTTATTAATAAGGTGATTTGTTTCTTTTGTTTGGAAACCCCACATTGCACACAAGTATTATAATGAACCTGAGAAATTGTTTTTGCTATGAAGCGTGTCTGAGGGAAACTTTAGGGGATTTCCTCACACGTGTTCAGCTACTCGGAATTATTCTGTGTTTCTGTGGTGATCATAACAGTTTCAGTATAATAGTATTTTATTTGAATTACTATGTTTTTTATTAATAATCAATTTTTTCACATTTTACTAAGTTAATGTGTCAACAAAGTGCTTACAAAGAAAGACTGGAGGACATTTAATTTAGCTAAATGTAATATCTGCTATATAAAAAGCCTTGAATGCGAAAATTCGATATTTGCCAAGAATTTAAATGATAAACTTGATGAGACTAACAGTAAAGAATCAACATCAGTGTCATTATCGTAAATGCTCATTGCGGCTGTAAGGAATACGCTCGCTATACCATACATCATCTCTTATTTCTCTCCTCTTCAATCTCCAGCAAAGCAGTTGGTCTACCTTTACCCCCGTTTCTATAACTGCTCTGTTCCTGCTGCATTCTCGGCTGACCTGCCACAGCTGGCCCAGTTATGTGCGGACTCCAAACCACAGCTGTCCTCCAATAAGAGAATGGAGCAGCTTTTTTCAGCTGGAGGGGAAAAGTTTGTCAGTTTTGCTAAATCTGAAAACTTTGTGGATGGTAAGATACCCCGCATGCCCTTTTTTTACTTTTAGCCATTTACTTGCTCATCATGTACATTTTAGAAGAGCAGACTTCTTTCCTGTAGCCTGCTGCCATGTTTGCACATTTCACTCGTCGACCACAGTCACTGATTATCAGGCGCAGACACGCTATCGTCGCTGCACAGTGACGTGCATTATCACGTCCCAACCGGGGCCTTCAAAGTATACTCACAGCTGCTTTGACTTTTGGATCTTAGTTACATGCAGTATTTTGTTTCTCAGTTTGTGTATATGTATATTTTTATTATTTAGAGAGAATAATTATCCACACAAAGGTTTATTTATGCATGAAAACAACACAGAGCTCACAATGTATTTATTTTACCAGAATCATACATAATGCAAAAGGAAGTGTGAGCTTATCACGTTTGCATTTCCTTTATTCTCATATCATTTGGCAAATTGCCAAAACAACTTGAAAAATGCTATTTAATGGTATAAAAACATTATACGTTTCATTTAGCACAATGATTCGAGCACAGACTACTCTAGTACCTGACATGTTTTTCTGTTGGCTTTCATTCAGATATCTACACAGGCTGGGTGGCTCAGGAACTGGGCGCCGACCTTTTAGTGGAGTCCTGGCAGAGACAAGGTCACGACCTGCCCTCCAACTGCTCACTGGCCAAACACACCATGAACATTAAGAAAATCCAGCTTCCCAGATCAATCCTGTTTTATTCGCACTACGACCACTCAAAGTGGTGCGTGTCACGACTTTATGAGGACCAGGTGACCTGCCTGGGAGACCTGAACAGAGAGATGGGCCAGCTGTGGCGAGGTGGCGGTCTGATCTGTTCCTCCAACCCTTTGATTTATAAGGCCTTCAGGCAGGTGGTGGATTGGTACATTCAGTGCTAATTGAGAAGGAAAAGCAAAGTGATTAAGAATCAGTGTGACACTGGCTGACAGTGGCAGAGCGAGACACTATGATTCTGTCTCCAGGGTTGACTGCTATGTAGAAGTAACATAGAGACTCACATATAATAATGTATGTGTATAATTGAATTCAGTTTTATATATACAGCTCCAAATCACAACAACAGTCACCCGAAGGTGCTTTATATTGTAAGGTCGACCCTACAACAATACATACAACAATCATATGACACCTTATGATCAAGCACTTTGGCGACAGTGGGAAGGAAAAACTCCCTTTTAACAGGAAGAAACCTCCAGCAGAACCAGGCTCAGGGAGGGGCGGGGCCATCTGCTGCCACCAATAATAATGTATTTACAATTTAAACTGGTGAATAAGCTTTTGAAAAATAGCAGTGACTGCATGTTAATTATGTGGTGGATACACTTAGTTATCCACCTTTGTTTGAGTTAAAGCAGCTGTATGGAACCAGCAGCCCACAAGTATAAATAGATTAAAAAAATAATACTTTCAATTCAATAAAACAAAACAGAAATAAGGTTAGTAAGACTGTAGATCACAGCCGCACATTGTTTCAGGAGATGTCAGCGGCTGTGTGTTTAAACAGCCGTGTCTGCACAATGTCTTGTTCCTTTTACAAAAGGAGCAAGAGACAAAATCATTGATCTATGTCGCTTCCTTTCATCCAGCAGAGATGAAACTATAACACTATTAGTGCTACAGATAAAAGGTTTTGTCATTTTCTTTTGAATCTTTGGGTCTTTGTATTCATATTGTTTTAGCACAGTGTGTGCACTTGTGTTATGATGCTACATATTTGAAGTTGTTTTTACGTTTTATAAGTTCTGCAATAAATATATGGAACCATATGTTGTAGTATGATGTGCAACATAATAAAGACTGACAACATTAAAATCTGGTCTACTGCTCAGTGAGACTGAGGTACATGTAGTCTAATGGAATCTATTTTATTTTATTTTGTTTTATTTGGTGCCTCTGGAGTAGTCATCATCATGTTTGTTCAGTTTCTATTTCCACTGAAGAGGCACTTGGCCTGTGACTGTGTGTGCGTTTAGTGTTTGGGGTAAATAGTGTCACCTACTGGCCAGACCAGGTGACTCATACAATTCATTCAAATGATTTTCCGACTATCTACAATTCGATACTACTCATGCAAACTAGAGCAGGCAGTAGAGAAGAAAGAGTACAACTAAAATCCAGTAAAGTGCAATAAGTAATATGTATTATACACAGTCGTGTGAAAAGGAGAGTACAGCCTCTTTCAACAACAAGGTTTTGTGTATCAGGGGCATATTTAAAAAACTCATCTGGTCCTCAGCAGGTCTAAAAATTAAGTTAATACAGTGTCAAATGAACAAAGGTGAAGAAAACGAAGTCACAATGCACGAACAGCAAATGAAGAACTCAGTATGCTCTCAGTGCTTTCATAGGAGTTAAGAAGGTAAGATCAGGTAACACAATGGCAAGAAAGAAAACATCAGCAATGATAGAGAAGCAAATGTTTCTGCTCATCAATCTTGGAAGAGATATAAGAAATTATACAGTGAGAAAATGGAAAATGTTTAAGACAGCTGACAATCTTCCCAACAGTGGATATCGAAGTAAATTCAACCCAAGGTCAGACTGCTCAGTGCGCAGAGAAACTGCAAAACACTCGTGAGCTACATCTCCTGCTCTGCAGGCCTCGGTTACCATGGCAGATTTTTAAAGTTCATGGCAGCACAGTTAGAAAACAAGCCGTACTTGCTCAGCAAGCCATGAATACAAGTTATACATTCAGTCGTTTTGTTGCTTAGAAAAAGAAAAAGCCTTTTCTCTCTAAATTGAACAGCTTAGCTTTACAATGTTGCCTCTGAATAAACCACAAGACTTCTAGAACAGTGTCCTTTGGACAGACAAGGCCAAAGTGGACATGTTTGTCCATAATGCACAGCGCCATTTTTGGCAAAAACCAAACATAGCATATCAGCACAAACAGATCATGTCACCTATCAAGCATGGAGGTAGACAGGTGATGACAGGATCTGGGCTTCTTCCAGTCACCGAGTGGACGATGAAGGTCTGAGGGCGTCTGCCTGACAGCTTGGACTAGGTTGAGATCGGGTGATGCAACAGGACAACAACCATATTCAAAGCAGCAAATCAAGAACAGAATGAGTGTAAAAATAAATAAATAAATCACGGTGGCCAAATCTCAATCCAGGCAGTCAACCTGACTGAAATACTGTGGCGTGACTTTGAGAAAGCTGTGCAACAAATGCCCGCAAACCTCAATGAACTGAGGCAATGTTGTAAAGAAAAGTGGGTTAAAAGGACTCCACAGTGACGTGAAAGACTGATAGAGTCATACAGAAAATGATTATGTCAACTTATTGCTGGTAAAGGTGGAGAATTATTTCTTTTGCACGCTGTTTCCGAATTCTGGTTTTGTTTTAGTTCAATAAAAAATGTTCTTGTTCATCTCAAATTGTATTTATGTAATGATAAAACAAGCTAAGGGTCTAAGTCCGTCTTTTACTTGAACTGAACTTTCTTTTTCACCTGACTCTGACATATTTCTACATGTACACGATGTGCATGAGAAAACTGGTTCTAAGAGCGCAGCAAACAATTTTGTTAACTGATTGAGGACCTGGATGCTTAAAATGTTGCCATGTGGTTGCAGTAATTGAGATTGTGCTAAACCATGCATCAGTTTCACAATGACTACACTTTCTCAGAAACATAAGAAAAACAAAGTCACATATATATTCTTTCAAAAAGCAAGTCAAACTGGAACATGCAGGGCTCAGACGGCACAAAGCCTCGTGACAGCGTCACCTGGTCAAAACAGGCACGGCAACATTGTAAAAAACAAAAAAGGAAGATCTATGGTGACGGCTTTGAGCAACAAGGAAGTTGTTGCTGACACATCGAATGCAGATATGGGTGACGGTTTCAGTTAGCAGTAGATGTGACAAAGCAGCTTTGTGAAACATCTAAAGCTCACTGAGAGGGAAAATGGAAACGAGTAGATATGTAAGTAAATGTTTACATATTTCAAAATATATTCTACAAATAATAACAACTGACCCGGGTGTGTTGCATAATACTGAGATGATCTATTTACATAAACAGGCTGAACACAAAGTAAATGCATAGTTATCCTGTGTATAAAAACACAGTACATGAGTACCGTGTGTCATAGCTTATCAAACACAATGTGAACAGAATATTACCACATGAAACTAGTATTGATGCATTTATCGTGACCCTAGATTACACCCACCAATAAGCATGCTATTATAAAATGCAACAAACTATTTTATACTGCTGCATGATTTGGCATCATTGGCATTATAATACAATGTCCATGGTGTGTTTGACTTGCAAATATATTTTTCAGTAGTGGACGACTGACCTCTTGTAAGCTGAGGAAGTGGCTTGACAGAAATGCACAAGTCTTACACACTTACAGATTGTTTACATCAAGGATCTTTACTTATAGCGTCCAACATATAGCTACAATAAGGAAGTGAGGATGTGTGGGATCACAACAGAAAACCTGATAATGCAGCGTTCATAAAACAAACACAGATTAGGTCACGTGATGACAAGTTTTCCAGATAAGACTGTAAACCCGGTTCATATTTAGAGATGTTTCGAGTCTATATTGTGTTACTCGAAACTGAATGATTGAGGTAGATCTTGAGTTGTATTGCCGCTGTGATGAACTGATACATCTTTCACCATTTTATAAACTAAAGCGAGTTGGGGGGGCAGAAATGTCAGAAGGAGAAACGGAAAATTTGTAACTTCATAGGCTGCCACGCTGGGAGGCTGTGTTTGGTAAATGATGTGAGCAGAGACGTGTTACATGTGTGGTAAGTGGTGCAACTTAAGTCGTCTGTCTAAAGTAGCTCGCAGGGTTTGCAGAACTAAAGACGTAACTGACATAAGTTTATGTCAGTCAGATAAAGTTCATCAGTGTTTAAACAGAAGCTGCAGGTTCACTGGTGGCTTTAATTGTGTTACACTGTATTAAAGACCTTCTGCTTTGTGACGGTGTTGTTGAATGCAGACAGCCTCCTGTTTTTGTGGTTCTAGCAACGGTTATGTTTGACTGTTTCAGACCAGTGTGATGGGATTCCTCTTGAGTGTTGGGATCCTTTTTCAGGGGTGTGACTCAGCGGTAAAATGCAGGAATGACAGAGGAGACGAAGTTGACTGGTTTGTAGACATTTTGAATTTCTGCCAATGGGTTTAATGTAAATGCATAAGAAAACATCTTTATCTACATTCTTTAGGTATATTTTGTACAAGCGTCCCAATGAGGATAAACTTGGATTGTCATACTTTTACATGGATGAGAGCACCAACGGATGGATACTCAGCCAAGAGAACATCAACAGTGATTCTGGCACTCTCGCAAACACCCTGAGACCTCTTTTTGACTTCTATGACAGAAAGGTGAGGTATTATAGGATATATGTCTCACTAGCATGGCACAGTGAATAATCTGAATACCATTTCAGAGTTGTTGTGGTGTTGCTCGTCTATCCAGATCGAAGGCTTTGGATACATGCTGTACAGCGACCAGCCTCCAAAGCCGTATGTTGCTCCTGCATCGTTTGGTCACAGTAAAGGTGGGCACAACATTGTCTCAGCTGACGGCGTTCTCTGTCTGAAAGACCCAAATGTAGCAAAGCTCAGTTTGTGTTTCTGACTTTCTACAGGAGTTGTGTTGTTGGACAAAACGTCTGGAGTTTGGCTTTCACACAGTACACCCAAATTTCCAGTATATCGCAGTAAAGCCTTCTGGCCTGATAATGGAAATGCAAACGCTCAAGCATTTATGTGCGTGACTTACCCGTATAAGCAGTTCAAAGAAATAGGTATGTCAACAGGTAAACAGCTCAAATCAGTTTCATAGAACCAGTGAAAGTGCACTTTAACAACTTGTATCTGAATTCTTAGGAGTGCAGCTCAAGTACATCCATGCTTATTCGTATGACTCTGAAATCCCAACAACCTTTCACAATGAGCTGCAGTGTGTGGCACAGCGAGACTGCTACCCGAAAAAGGAACCCTGGTTTAGTCAGGCGACGCTGACTTCTTCACGCGGCCGTAACTTCATCAGCTTTGCAAAATACACACGCTTTGGTGATGGTAAGTGTTTTCAGAAAGAAGACATATTTCAGGAGGGATGAATTCATGTTGTATTGATCACAAACATAAGACCCTGTGGATTGACAGTAAAACACACTGTACTCTCCACAGTACGGGCAGAGCGCACTCTTAATAGTGTTGTTTTCCTGTTTTGTTTCCCATACTATTGCAGATCTTTACTCTGGTCTTGTTACAAAAAACATTAGGGGGAATCTGTATGTTAAGAGCTGGGGAAAGATGCACCACAATCGCAGTCTGCCTTCTAACTGCAGTTCAAGCATCCCTAACCATGTGTACAACGTGAAAGAAGTAAAGCTTCCAAACAGGAAGGCCTTCAGTGATACTGTGGATCACTCAAAGTGGTGCGTGACTGCAGACGGTGACTGGATCTGCATCGCTGATATGAACCGAGAGGAGAGTCAGATGAAAAGAGGTGGAGGAGCAATATGCACTAATGACAGAGTAGTTGGGATGGCTTTCTATAGACTGATACGCAATTTTGAACCATGTAAAGATCCACGCTCTGTTGGTAGACGAGAGCTGTGAAGGAACAACCCGAGTGTTGGACCAATATTATAAAAACCTCCGTTTAAATAAGCACATCAGCTCAGCTGTCCAGTCTTGACTCGTGCAGCTTTAGGTTCAGTTTGTTTCTAAAAGAAATCCAGAGATGGTTACAGAGTGCCTGCTTTTGTCCCTTCATTGTTCGCACGACTGGACCAAAATGGAGCAATCAGAGTTTTTAAATGTCTTGATCATGTTGTTTCATTTTTTTAATCTCTTATTAAGTTTTGTTTTTATTTCCTATCATGTCCTGTGAAGCGCTTTGTAACTTTGTTTTGATAGATGCTATATAACTAAAGGCATTATCATTATTAAGAAAAATCGATGGACTATTAAAAACTTGATTTTATTACACAAACTTCTGTATCTGGTAGAAAAACAGTTTCGACCTCAGGGTCCTCTGCAGTGTCCTCGTGCACCGTTACTTCAAACTAAATGAATTAAATGTGAATGATTTAACGCCCACTTGGAACTTATTGCCAGCTGTGCAAACCAAGCACTTGCTGCAGCTCCACACATTGAAAAGCCTTTTGTACACCCTGAACCCTGCATGTTGACGTTCCAGTGGAAGGACAGGAGGAATGTTTGTGGCTTTGCTTGTCTGTGCATGTCTATTTTCTACTTTTTCATTTATATTTTTGGGTTTTTGACACTGAGCAACTTCCACTCGCCTCCTATGTAAAAATGCAGTTCTTGTCCTCTTTGGCAGCGTCTGCTTGCAACAGGTTTTCAGCTTTCAGCTGTTTCTGTGGCACCAAAATGTTGCACCTGTAGATTAATTTCCAGAATCTTTCCAGCTTGTTCATTTTTGTGATGCGGTGTGTTAAATGCAAAACACCTTGTCATTGGAGTTGAGGTAAACAAAAGAAAAACATTTCTTTTTTTAACAGTGCAAAAACTGACAAAAACAATGGAAGGTCTTATTTCTGAAGTTTACCATAAAGTGTCTTAATTGCATTTTTTGATGTTAACACTCCAGGAAGTGGCTTTTTAAAATAAAATGATCAGTCTTGCCCACACCACAGCTTCCTGTTCACACCACATGTCACACTATCATGCTTAATTTTAAAGACCTACATTACTGTAATTATCATAAACTGTGCTATTATATCCATATAGTATAATCTCAATTATTAGGCAGGTGATTAAAGATGTAGGACAAATATTGTAATATTGTATTTGTTGAGTCACAAATATAATATTATTCCTCATAAATGCAACTTTGTGTTCACTCGTTTTCACTGAGAAACACTAAAGAAAATACTCAAATTAAATGTGCTGATGTGTTAATGATCACTTCTGTGGTTCCTGGTGCAGATAAACTCGTGTTGTCTCTTTCTGGCTTTGTTTAATTGTATTTAAGCTGTCAAATGATCACAGCCTCCTCTTCCTCCTTTAGTCCTGAAGGTGATGGTTAGACCTTCATCACTGTTATGAACAGGCACAGTTTCACTGTCATTTCACCGGTTTTGAGCTTTCAGTTTAGATGCCCTCATTTACTGGCGTGCCATCGAGCCATATCTGGCATTTGCAGCAGTTCTTATTTGTGCCCCCACCTAATGTAAGGTTTATGCCACAGCTTCCCTAAATTAAGAGTTTTTGTAATTACAAAAACATTTTTATGTTTCTGTAATGATTAACTATGAGCTAGATCTTTAACTGAAATTATATTTCTGATGCTAAAATATAATTATTGTTATCTATGAATTTTCAAATGTATGAGTTTATTTAAAGAAGCAGAAAAACATAGTAGAGTATGTTATTATTTATTTTTAAACCTCTACCTGCTCTAACAAAAAAAATCAATTCAGTCTTTTTTAGTCACTTAAATTGTCTTTACAGGATTGTGAGTTTATATATGTTGTGACTTCTCCTGCCTTGTTGGCCAGTTCACTCCTGAAAAAATACATTTTTAATCTCAATGAGACTTTTTACCTGGATAAAAAAGATTACAGATTACACTGATTACAGCTTCCAACTCCTTTAAGGAAGGTTTTTTTCTGGCTCTAAATGACTTGATATCATTCATAAGAGATATGGTTGACAGATTATAGGTCAACAAGTCATTTATAACAGCTTTCCAAGAAACAACAGTGATGAGTGGAGACGTAGCAACTACAAAGGTATAAAGATCATGAGCCATATCAGAAGATACGACAAAGAGTTCTTGAAGGAACAGCAGCATGGCTTCATGTTGAGAAAGAGAGCTACAGATTAAATGTTTGGTTTGAGAGTGCTGAGGATGAAGTGTGTTGAAAGAGCCGTGCAATGTTTTTGTGAATCTGTAGAAAACATATGATCTGGTGTGATACTGTATGAGGAGCACCGAGGAACGGTGGAGCACCGAGGAACGGTGGAGCACCGAGCACCACCGAGGAGCACCGAGGAACGGTGGAGCACCGAGGAACGGTGGAGCACCGAGCACCACCGAGGAGCACCGAGGAACGGTGCACATTGCTGCGCTGTGCACCGCAGCAATTTCCTAATGTTGTAAACCTGCTCAACATTTGGCAATAAAACCCTTTCTGATTCTGAAGTAAGGGTTTGGATTATGTCAGGGATCGTCTCTGAGCATCTTCTTGTTTGCAGTGGGGATGGATGGATGGCCAGGTGAGGTCAGGCAGGAGTCTCTGTAGACTGTGATGCTCACAGATGACATTGTGTTCTGCAGTGAGAGTATGAAGTAGATGGATGAAAGCCTGGGGAGGTGGGGGTATGTTCTGGAGAGCAGAGGAGTGATAGCCAGTAGAAGCCAGACAGAGACGGGTGTTAACAGTGAAGATGATAGGACTAGAGGTTTGAATAACTGGGGTCAAAAAAAGCCATGGACAGTGCACAGGAGAGGTGAAATTGAGAGCGTGTAGGCTGGGTGGAGTCGGAGGACGAGTATCAGGAGGGTTTCTGACAGAACATTACATAAAGCTGGGGTATTGCAAAAAACGGCTGTGTTTAGGTTCTGCTCTATTTCCCTACTTTACAGTGGGACTCTGTCTCCTCCTCACCACTAGAGGTCACACTTGTTCTTCACCGAGTCTTCATTCGGCCACTTCCTGTCCCACCGGAAGTGAATACGCGAACGGGGCTGCTGCTTCCAGTACACACACGTGAGAAACAAGCCAAAACAGACAGCAGATACAAGATGGACATTACAGAGGTCTCAACAAGTCAGGACGGCAAAGGGAAGAAGGGCAAGAAAGCGAAGAAGAAGAGCGCGGAGGTTGATGGGGAAGGCAGCGCGGGGGAGGAGAAGAAGATGGTGAAGAGCGAGCTGGCTGTTGCCTTTCCTCCCGCCTTCAGTGTGTCAGAAATCAAGAATAAACAGCGAAGACACTTCATGTTCATGAAACTCAAGCAGGAGAAGAGAAAGGTACCGATACTGGGTCATGGCTGGTAATGGGCGGAGCTTCCGGTACTTGGGACACTCACGTGCCAGTTTATTAGGTACAGCGGGGCGTTAAAACGGCACCGTTTTACGTGAGCAAAACTCCAGTGTGTTTCAGTAGAACTGTTAATGTAAGAGAATACAATGATCAACATAAAAATATCAATGTCTCGTTTTAGCACGTGTTTTTTCATTAAACGTCAACATGTTACGTCTGTCGTTAGGCTGCTTGTTTTGCTTGGGTCCAGTTTATTTAGACTCCGACTCCTTATGTGCTGCTTAACTCACCATATTTCATTAAAGTGAAGTATAGTCAGGGTGGGGCTCCTTGTACTTCTATTTATGAGGGAAAAACAGCCAAACAAAAATCATTAGGATCAGCATTTGCTGATATTAAAGTTGGACCATAATCATTGCATCCATAAATATTAAGCACACCTTTAATGTTAATAACTTAAGAGTAGGCTGGTAAATATCCAGTTACCTATTTATTTTGTGTCAGTATTGTGAGGCCTTTAGAGTTTTTAGTTTTTTAAATACTGTTATTTATGTTATAATCCGGTGCATCTTCTGATGATACTTGTATGGAATCACAATAAATTTTATGTGAGGTAACAAATGGCCAGGTTTACTAGTTGTGACACACAGAAAAAGGTACATCTATAATTTTATTTAAAACATCACTGCTTATCCAGATCAGTTCTAGCAGGAGTAATCGATAAATCACTTTATTAACTTTGAAAACCTCCTTGAAGATCTATTAACTTCTAAATTTGTATTTCAGCAAAAGATGCAGCTGAGGAAAAAGAGAAGAAAAGAACGTGAAGCTTTAGGTGATAAGGTGAGTCTTCTCTTTGTTTGTTCTTCACTTATGACTGTGTTTTATGATGGATGTGTTAATTCTACCAATAAATTGCTGTCATGGGGATTTGATGGTAAAGAGGGGCTCAGATTAGAGCCACTAGTCCTCCAAATTAAAAGGAAGCAGTTGGTGAAGCATGTCCTACTGGGAGGGGCTGGGGGGGCAGACCCAGGATATGCTGGATAGATTATGTTTTGGCTTGGGAATGCCTCTGTGTCCCTCCGGAAGAATTTGAGGAGATGGCAGGAAAGAGGGAGATCTGGGCTTCTATGCTTAGACAGCAGTGACAGAGAGTGAAAGGATAAAATAAGGCAACAGCTGTAATATTTATTATTTGTACTTTATTTTATTCTGTCCCCAATGTAGGCACCACCAAAGGAGGTCCCCAAAACAATAGAAAACCAGAGGGTGTATGACGAGACAACAGTCGACCCAGAGGATGAGGAGGTATGAACTGGGCTTCATCAGATTATTGTTATCTTTATTTCTGAATTTGGATTAAGTTGCATATGTTTGTGTACGTTATATACAGATTGCTTTTGACGAGGGGACTGATGAATTCTCCGCCTACTTCAACGGGCTGACAAATCCTAAAGTGCTCATCACAACATCAGACAGGCCCAGAGGGGTGAGGGCTCCTGCTGTCATTACAGTCATTGTTATTATTCTTTTATCATTAAATATGCAGAATCTGAAAAATTATAATTTGCTGGTAAATTTTGGATCATTTGAATATTATGCAGAACAAAGAATTTTCTAAAAATCTCTTTACATATTTGAATATTCTTGACTTTGTTACAAAATCGAGCAGAACAGAAGCTACAAGCTTACTTTTAGCTTTTGTGTAAGCGTTTGAAGCTGGTTTTGTTGTTAGTTTAATTTCTGCACTAAAATAGGATTTACTGTCATAGTAGTTAATAATAGTTGGCAGCCTCCTTGGTGCTAACCACTCTTCCACCTCAAGTGTTGAACGCACAGTGATTTGTGCCACATCATCTGATTTGTGTCTTGCAGAGGACGGTGAGGTTTTGCGAGCAGCTGGCCACAGTCATCCCAAATGCCCACGTGTACTACAGAAGAGGTTTGGCCCTGAAGAGGATCATACCGCAGTGCGTCGCCAGGAACTTCACCTATCTCATGGTCATCAATGAGGATCGGCAAGTGCCCAGTATCCTTAAAGGCAGCTGTGCAAGCTCTAGTTCTTTCTTTGGTCAAAAGTCTCATTTTGACCAAATACTGCTGATAATTATGAAAGTTTGATGCACTCAGCTGTTTTCTAATGCCGAGATCCTTAACCATTAATTAAAGATGGCATGGTTCTCTGTCACTTACCTGACGGGCCGACTGCACACTTCAAAGTCAGCAGTGTTCGACTACGCAAGGAGATGAAGGCAAGATGATAAGTCCAAACTCTTTTTCAAAATGATCCTACTTTCTCACCTATACTATAAACACGTGAAAAGGAAAGTACACCCTCTTTCAATGCTGAGGTTTTACATCAGGACATAGTAAAAATTTAATCTGGTCTTCAGCAGGAGATAAAATCTCAGATGAAGAACAGCACGTAATATTACTCCGTGTACTGTTTGTACAGGGGTTAAGTTACCTGCAGGCAGGTGCAGCTGATAAAATGCACTTGATTAACTGATCAATAGTCAGCGTGGGCACTCCTATAAAAGGAGAAGCATTTAGATCTGTGTTAACACAATGCCAAAACACATCAACAGTGACCTTAAAGAAGAGATTGTTGCTGCCCAAGACTTTTGGAAGGACTATACAAGTCCGTCATACTGCTGTGAGAAAGATTATTCACAAATAGAAACGTTCAGCACGGTTCAAAGTCTTCCCAGGAAAGTGACATCGCAGCAAATTCACTGCAAGGTCAGACTGTGCAATGCTCAGACTCACTGCAAAAAAGCCAAAAGCTACATTTCAGACTGCAGGCCTCGGTTAGTAAAACATCTGAAGTCCAAAACAGTCCAGTTAGAAAAAGACTGAACAAGTATGAACTCCACAATGATGTGAGAGACTCAAAGTCATGTAGAAATACATACCTCATGTTACTGCTGCTAAAAGACACTGAATCATGTGGTGCACGCGGTGTTTCACACACTGCTTCTGCATTTTGGTTTCTTTAAAAAGAAAAAAAACCAACACATTGTATTATGACGTGTGTTGTTCATTTGAGGTTATATTAAAATAACTTTACAACCTGGTACAGTCTAAGTTATTTTTATCATGTTTTATACTTAATAGGTTGAAGAGGTGAAACTGAACGAGGGGGTATTTCCTCTTTGCTTCTGTACGTTACTCCAAACACTGGGACACGCTTTCTTGAAGTTTAGTCATTTGAGATCATCTGGCTCCTTTTCTTTGTCCCGCAGAGACGAGGCAAAAATCCAACTGAACACTTCCCAGAGGTGATCCTCAACAATTTCACCACTCGTTTGGGACACACCATCGGCCGTCTGTTCGCAGCTCTTTTCCCACAAGAGCCACACTTCGTTGGCAGACAGGTCGCCACCTTCCACAACCAGCGAGACTTCATCTTTTTCAGATTTCACAGGTAAATATTTTTCAACCTTCTATACTAACACATGCGTCTGTTTTAAATCTTAAATTTAGAAGGCTAAATAAATCTCTAAAAATCATCTGTGAAAGGTACATCTTCAAGAATGAGAAGAAAGTTGGTATTCAGGAGCTGGGACCACGCTTCACCCTCAAACTCCGATCTCTACAAAAAGGCACGTTCGACTCAAAGTACGGAGAGTACGAGTGGGTGATGAAGGTGAGTCATCCTCACAGATGGTTGTTTTTGCAGTAAAACTGTCATCAAGCCACGTGCACATTTGCCTTTAAGCAACCTATTTGCTGTTAGTTTCTACTTTGCCAGTCGTGTTATTACAGTCTAGTTCAACATTTAATTGTGGAAGATTAAAAGAAATGTTTTTGTCACACAAGCTTAAATATCTTTTTTTGATTTCAGCGTCATGAGATGGAAGCCTGCAGGCGAAAGTTCCAGCTTTGAGAAAATAAAACTCTTTTCCTGGTCAGATGGGAATGATCGTCTGTTATCCAAGATACTTCAGCTGTTTGTGGACTTGCTGAGATTGACTTTACAATGCCCTGGCAACTGTTAAATCTTCAACAACAGCTCAAATTTCCCTTAAAAGTATCATTTCCACTCTTTATCGTAACATGACCTACTCATGGACATCAAAGGGCTGAGTCTAATTGTTGGACACATTTTCTGTTGGACCGTGAAATGCCCGAGAAGACATGCAGCATCCTGCTTCTCTGTAAATGCTGCTTGTGTGTTAAAAGCTTTAAAAATGTGACCTGCTCTGACCACATATATGCAAACATACACCTGGTCCATCCTGGTTTGTGCGACGGACAGAAGGAGCTTTGAATAAAGTGCATTGTGTGACTGGAGGTGGTCAAATTGTTTATATTTAACACATGAGCACAGTGCAGATGCTTCTGTATTCAACAGGATTCTCAAAAATCATCTTGGATAATACGTGTGTATATTGTTATTCTAATAAAACATTGACTGTGTCTTTAAGTTGTGAATAAAGGTATTTATTTTTGTTCAGGCATGAAAAATACACATTTCAAAAGGCACATGTTAGTATGGGTTAGTTCTATGCAAATAGCTTAAGACGCATTTGTGCTAAAACCACTTGGAAAGGTTTCCACGTTAGATTTGATAAAAGGCAAAAGTTAAAAAAAAAAAAAAAAAAGTCAGTCGTTTGGCCCAAGTTCCCTAACGCTCCTGAGTCGATTCCAGTCCATGATGCAGGATCCTGATCCTGAAACGCCGTTCCACAAAGCACCACAATGTCCAACACCTGCAGAAATGTTTACGATCATTAGTCATGCAAAAAATTTATTCATACAGCACCAACTCACGTCAACAGTGGTCTCAAGGTGATTTATATTGTAAGGTAAAGACCCTAAAAACAGACCCTGTATGAGCAAGCACTTGGCGACAGTGGTAATAAAGAACTCCCTTTTAACAGAACAAGGCTCAGGGTATTCAGAGAGATGGGACAAAAGGCAAAGTACAGGGGCCACAGCATTTAGGCTGAGGGTGTGAAAGGTTTGTTTTCCCTATAAAGCAGGCGGCAAAGCATGTAAACAATGCAGAAATGCACAGTATTTTATAAGCATTACTGCAAAAGCAAAGTTAAACCACTCTGACCTGCTTATAAATGATTTTAGAAAAACTGACCGTGAGTGATGTTAAAGCTCTACCTGAACTTCACAGGTGAGAAAAGTCTAGAAATTAAAGGTGCGAGTCCGAGCACTGTAACTGATGATTTTCAGTAGAGCAGCCTCGACAAGCTGACTGGAAATAGTTAATAACTGATATTTTATGTAAGAGTTAATTTTAAACTACCATTGAATTATAAGCGTTTGATGTTAATCTTTTAAAATTAGACTACTTTTTAAGAAAGTGCATTTTGTACTGGTTTCAGTTTCGTAACTTGTTGCTATTACTCAACGTTATGTCTCTTGGCCGTACAAAACATCAAAACGTACTTTATGGATTCTCCACAGAACTTGAGGTTATTTTAATCGTACAAAAAAAGAGGCAGCCTGAGAACCAGCTGTACTCACACAGGCGGAGGGTCGGCCTGTTGGTGCTATAGGAAGGAGCAGACTTTCTGCGGTCTGAAGGGGTTGTTGCTGGACGACATGCCGGTGAGCAGAGGGTCCTGTTGGGCGTTCTGGAGGCAGAACTGCTGCAAGTCTGCAGCGGCCTGGGACACCTGTGGTTGGGAAATAGTTGAGAAAAGCTACTGCTGTGCAACTACAACTACAATCGCTATTCAAATGAAGAGAGACTCCTTTAACAGACGACAGAGAAACAGTACACGCCCTACAATAGTAACGTAGCGATTTTAACCGTTACCTTAACTCTGTTAATGCCAGCTTCAAGGCGTAACTGTTGGACCACTTTCTTCATTGCTACGACGTTGGTCGATCCAGACATTGCTGAGTTGAACGTTTTAAGGCTTTAAGCGACGAATTTAAAAGTTTTACCTAGAAAATTGGTTGTTGCTAGCTCACTTGCTAACTACTTCATCAACAACGAGCTTCCGGTTTTGTATAAAGGCGTGTCAAGTACTGCTGCCTTCGCGTGAAGTTCGAAAATGTCAACTTTTCGATATCTTTACTTCACTGTTTTGTAAACAATAGAAACCTCACAGTAGAATAGTTTTTCGTTACTTTGAAAACTGTATTAGTGAAAACGAGATTCATAAAGCATATAATCATCGCCTTTGTCATGCATTTCCACACGGTTTCTCTGATAATCACCAACAACAAAAGTTCAATTTAAGTTTTAAAAATTACAACTCCCACATATA